GACAGACTGACACACAGACAGACAGACCGATTGATTGATTGTTAGATCGACTGACTGACTGATCGCTAATCGATATCGTTGGATATCGATGGATAAATAGAACTATGGATGGATGGGTGAATGGATAGATAGATAGATAGATAGACAGACAGACAGACAGACAGACAGACAGACAGACAGACAGACAGACAGACAGACAGACAGACAGACAGACAGATAGATAGACAGACAGACAGACAGACAGACAGACAGACAGACAGACAGACCGATTGATAGATAGACCAGCTGACCTCCTGACAGACAGACAAATCGACCAACCAATCGATCGATCGATACATAGATAGATAGACACACAGATAGACAGACCAATCGATCGATAGATAGACCGACCGACCGGTCGATTGATCAATAGATAGATAGATAGACAGATAGATGGATAGATAGATAGATAGATAGATAGACAGATAGATGGATAGATAGATAGATAGATAGATAGATAGATAGATAGATAGATAGATAGATAGATAGATAGATAGATAGATAGATAGATAGATAGATAGATAGATAGATAGATAGATAGATAGATTGACTGACTCAACGACAGACAGATGATTTGGGTGAATTTTTAAGATTATTTTAAATTACACTTCTAAACCAAACTCATTGGTTTTCCCATATTTGACCCAACGTTGGGTTACAACAACCCAGCATTTGACTAATCTCCCTTTTGTCCTTTATGTATGGCCATGCAGGAGACTGTTGGCTGTTGGCAGCGATTGCCTCTCTAACTCTCAAAGAGGAAACACTAAATAGAGTTGTACCAAATGACCAGACCTTCGATCGCGGTTATGCTGGAATCTTCCATTTTCAGGTGAGTCTCGCTCGCTGAACACTGCAGCTCCATTCTGACTTCATCTGAACTCTAAACCAAACTCCCATTATTGTGCAGTTCTGGCAGCATAACAAATGGATGGATGTGGTGGTGGACGACAGGCTCCCGTGTGTGAGAGACAAACTGGTGTTCCTCCACTCCGCTGACAACAACGAGTTCTGGAGTGCACTGCTGGAAAAGGCCTATGCCAAGTATGCTCTTCAGTTTACAAAATGGGATCCGGCTATCATATTTAGATTTGAGATGTTAACTTTATTTTTGTTCTCAGGCTGAACGGCAGCTATGAAGCCCTGAAAGGTGGAAGCACAATGGAGGCCATGGAGGACTTTACTGGAGGTGTGGGTGAGATGTACGAGACGAAAAACGGACCCAACAACCTCTTCCTCATCCTCAAGAAAGCCATAGAGAGGGGGTCCATGCTTGGCTGCTCCATCGACGTAAGCAAGACCGTGTTTTATTCACTGTGAGATTAGCAGCGCATTCCAGCACATAGATAGATGGACGGACGGACGGACGGACGGACGGACGGACGGACGGACGGACGGACGGACGGACGGACGGACGGACGGACGGACGGACGGACGGACGGACGGACAGACAGACAGACAGACAGACAGACAGACAGACAGACAGACAGACAGACAGACAGACAGACAGACAGACAGACAGACAGATAGATAGATAGATGAATGGATGGATAGAACGATGGATCAATAGATAGGATGATAAATTAAATTAAATATCAAAGGATGGATGGAACGATAGATCGATAAAAAAGATGGATATATAGATAGATGGATGGATGGATAGATGGATGGACTGAACAATGAATGAATAGAACTATGGATGGATGGATGGGCAGATAGATAGATGGATGGATAAATAGAACTATGGATGGATGGATAGATGGATAAATAAGATGGATAGATAAATGCATGGATAGATGGATGATAGATCAATGGATGGATAAATAGAACTATGGATGGATAGATAGATAGATAGATAGATAGATAGATAGATAGATAGATAGATAGATAGATAGATAGATAGATAGATAGATAGATAGATAGATAGATAGATAGATAGATAGATAGATAGATAGATAGGTGGATGAATGGATGGATAGAACGATGGATCGATAGATAGGATGATAAATGAAATTAAATAATTGATGGATGGATGGAACGATAGATGGATAAAAAAGATGGATGGATAGATAGATAAATGGATGGATGGATGGATAGATGGATGGATTGAACAATGAATGAATAGAACTATGGATAGATAGATAGATAGATAGATAGATAGATAGATAGATAGACAGACAGACAGACAGACAGACGGACGGACGGACGGACGGACGGACGGACAGACAAATAGATAGATGGATGGATGGATGGATGGATAAAATGATGGATAGAATAAAATATGTAACAGCCAATAGCATTTGTTTTTATCACAGCTCTGTCAGTGAGAGGGGTTAAGATCAAGCACATACAGGAATAGTGTGTTGAAGGAGGTGGGGCTTGTCAGATACTAGAGAGCATTTGTTTGTTCAGAAGATTTGATGAGAGACCAAAGTATGATGTGACGTTACAAAAAAATAGTATCCATTTGGACGGAAGTGAGAAATTTGGATGTTTAAATCTTCTAAATGCTCATTTTGTCACTGTTTTGGAGCAAACTAGCTAATAGCTATGCTTAAGTCTAAGTGATACTAACATCGAAGAAACATTTAAGATGTTTGTGTTTCCGTTTCACTAGATCACTAGTTCTGCTGAATCTGAAGCCCAAACCTCTACTGGTCTGGTGAAAGGCCACGCTTACTCCGTCACTGGAGTGGAAGAGGTGAACGCATCAATCCGCATTCCTCGTATCTTTGTTTAGCTCAGATTTTCTTTAGATTCATTATTTTTCTTGTCTCTTCAGGTCAACTACAGAGGAGCGAAGGTCCAGCTGATTCGTGTACGTAACCCCTGGGGTCAGGTGGAGTGGAACGGGCCGTGGAGTGACAAGTAAGCATCCTTCTCATACTTCAGCCTCCACATCAAAGTTCCTGAAAGCAAAGGTCAAGGTGCTTCAGGATTGGCCAGCCCAGTCACCAGATATCAACATAATTAAAAGCCTTATCAAAAATGCCTTGATAGAAAATTTTTAAAAACTTGTTCAATTCAGTCAATCTTGGTAAGAAAAGGCCAATAAAATAATTTTTGGGCCACGATGTTTAAGTAACCGTGAGATCTACTAATAAGGATATGTTCACTCAGGATGTTATTTGTGAAGTACTCATATTTTCATTTAAAAGAACGCTTATCTTCATATATGTTGATATTCTTGAATGTTTAGTTTGGTAGACCAGTTTGGTTTTATATTGTGCTGCTTACCAAAAATTGAGAAATGGTCACTCAAGACAAAACATGGTAATAAAATGCATTTAAAAACATCTGCATCTTCAGTTTGACAGGTACTGTTTAACAAAAAAACTCAACTTAAAAGGACCATTCACTTAAAAATGAAAATCTTGTCATCCTTTACTCATTCTTTACTTGTTTGCAAAAGAAGAGATTTTGAAAAATGTTGGAAACCTGTAACCACTGACTTCCATAGTATTTGTTTTTCTTACTATGGCAATCAATGGTTACAGGTTTCCAACATTCTTCAAAATATCTTGTTTAGTGTTCAACAGAGGAAAGAAATATTTATAGCCACTCCAGGGAGAGTAAACAGTGAGTAAATATTCATATTTGGGTGAACTGTTCCTTTAAGATAAACAGAGTAGCTGGTTTTCAAGCACATGAGCATTTCCACTATGAAAGCAATCCAATCAAATATGTAATTATCTAGAACACAGTGTTTACCCAGTGGCATCACCCACTTGTGTTCAGACTGACAATAAATCCTTTTAACACAAGATCCAAATGCTTCTCATCTTGTCTTTTCAGTTCGAGAGAATGGACTGTCATTGACAGCTCAGAGAAGAAACGATTGCTGCAAAACTCCCTGGATGATGGAGAGTTCTGGTATGTCCAGCTATCAGATACAATAAAGATGTTTCTGTGTGCCACATTAAAACCAGTATCTAAAAAGCTCTATCTGACCAGCGGTAATAACATAGGTGATTTGTTGTGTTGCAGGATGGAGTTCGGAGACTTTAAATCCAACTACGATAAGGTTGAGATCTGTAACCTGTCTCCAGATGCTCTGTCCGATGACGTTTCCAAGCAGTGGGCTGTGAACCTGTTTGAAGGCAGCTGGATCAGGGGGTCCACCGCTGGCGGCTGCAGGAACTACATTGGTCAGTAGTATCATATTAAAGAGTACTGGGTTTGCACCAAATGCAAAGACAAAACATAGAACACAGCACTTTTTTTCTCAAGTTGAATTCTTTTAAGGAAACGTGTTGTGAATCATGCGTCATAACGCGCTGCGCATTTGCATTTACTTCTTTTTTTATAAGGAATTAGCTTAAGTTTATGTCTTAATTTACATAAGACACTGAATTAGAACTATATCTGACAGAAATATCAAGAGATTTCACACACATCGTTCAAAATACAACAAATTTATTATTCAGTATATTATACTATTTAATTAATACTACACTTTAAGTCAATTTTCGTGATACACATAGGCCTGTTGCACAATACTGGTTTGGTTTTCATTAAGCCAGTTAATGTTCAGGTGTGGTTTGATCAAACTCCAGAAAGTGGGTTGGTTTTGGTTGGGTTTTGTCCAGTAGCGTAGCGCAAAATGCGGAGGCCCCCCTGCAGGGATCGCTGACGGGCCCCCCTGATGAAGTGGGGGCAGGGTGAGATACGTCATATGTCAATTTGCATATCACTGACGTCATCACGTTCTACCGTTTCTGTTTGTTTAACAGCCTATGGTTAATAAAGGGGTATTTATAATTGCACTACACTTTATATAAGCATGTTTATTTAACTAAATTTATTGCTGTTTGAATACAGTATATCATTATATATGTGTAGTGAATGAATGTGCAGTTATCTCTCATATGTAATAAACTCAGACAAGTTCAGAAACTGTCACTAAAATATCTGTGATTGTGAACAAGAAAAGAATAAACGCTCCAATTAAATTGTTAAAATAAAGGAGAAGCAGGTCGGTTTGACTGTACAAGGGAAATACCTTCACACTGCCTGTGCTAAATCATTTGTCGTCGGTACGCAGAGGGGTGATCTGCTCTCGAGCTGCAGGTGGGAGAGGCTGCTGTACGAGGACTGACTGGGCCGCCTGTCAGTGCTGTGAGGCGGGGGAGGGGCATCACACGCAGCTCGTTGAAAAGAGTAGGGACGGTACAGTATGGACAAATGACAGTCTAAAAAAAATCTCCAATAACACACAAAAAAGTCGCTAGATTTGTCGCTAGGGGGGTCTGAAAAGTCGCTAAATCTAGTGACAAAGTCGCTAAGTTGACAACATTGGCGGCAAGCAATCAGAATGAAGTAGTCCACCGCTTGAGAAATGTTCAGAGAACACAGACCTGTGAACTTTGGTTCCGACCACAGTTGTTCCCAAGAGTTTGATTATTGCGGTTGCCGGATTATCAATTATTGAAAATCGCAACGATGCGAGGCCCCCTAATCACGCGGGGCCCCCCCCCGCGGTGCGTGCCCTGCGGGCCCGTCCGCTACGCCACTGGTTTTGTCGGCAAGTTAACTTATACTTAACCATACCTGCCAACACTCCTGTTTTGTCAATTCTCCTGGGAAACTGCTTCATTCATGAATTTTTCTTCATAAAAATTATCTCTATTAAAAATTATCTAAAAAAATTTTCTAAAATTATCTAAATTATAATTATCTAATTTAAAATTATCTAAATTAAATCTAATTTTTCTTCATAAAAATATCTCTATCTTAGAGGTTGCCACAGTGAAATGAACTTCCAACTATTTTAGCATATGTTTTACACAGCGGATGCCCTTCCAGCCACAACTGAAAAACACCCATACACACACACACACACACACACGCACACACACACTCATAACCTAAGGTCAATTTAGTTTATCCAATTCACCTACCATGTGTTTGGACTTTGGGGGAAACCGGAGCACCCGGAGGAAACCCACACCAACACGGGGAGAACATTCAAACTCTACACCGAAATGCCAACTGGCCCAGAAGGGACTCAAACCAGCGACCTTCATGCTGTATGGCGACAGTGTTAACCACTGAGCCACCCTGCTGCCCCAATATAAAGTAGCTGATGGTCAGTAACTTTACTCTTTTGACCTTGATGTTCTTTGTTCCTTTCACAGACACATTCTGGACAAACCCCCAGTTTAAGCTTCATCTGGAAAATCCGGATGATGGTGATAAGCTGTGCAGCGTCATTGTGGCCCTGATGCAAAAGAACCGCCGACGACTAAGAAAAGAGGGGCTTGACCTGGAGACCATTGGGTTTGCTATTTATGAGGTGAGAGAGAGATATCAAGCAACAGACAGAGCTGTATTTAAAGGGTTATAGGAATGATTAGTTACTTAAGACAAGTCATTTCAATCATCTGAGACCTTCATTCATCTACAAACCACAAGTAAAGATATTTTAGGTTAAATCGGAGAGCTCCCTCATCCTCCATTTAGCAAATCAGAATTATACTTACATGTTTAAAGTCCAGAAAAGGAACAAAGACTGCACAGACTACAAACTTTAGTCAAAGAGAGCTGCATGAAGTCTTTTGAGTGCCAAAAAAACTGTGAAAATTTTGTTCGCAAATGAGTTTGTTTGCCGATGTTTTCCTCATCAGATCAGGATGCGATGCTTGCTTGTTGTGCTGCTGATTCTAATGGAAATAAGTTGTATTAACCATAATAAACATGTTTAATACATTTTTTTTTTTAAATGGTGCACAAAAACGTACTTGGAGCTTTGTATGATTAAAGTTGAACCACTTGAAGACATGTAGTGTTTTGACAATGTTTTTGATTCCTTTACTGGACTTTGAACATCCCTTGCTGTCTATGGAGGATGAGAGAGCTCTCGGATTTCATCTAAAATATCTTAATTTGTTTTGAGTATGAACAAAAGTCTTGGGGATTTGGAATGAAATGAGGGTGATGAATTATTAGCAGAGTTTTCATTTTTGGGTGAACTAACCCTTCAAATAAGGAAGGACATGAGTTTGCAGAACGTCACGCAGTGTCTCTTTGCTCACAAACAGGCTCCCGATGATCAAGACCACCAGGGCAAAGATTTTTTCCGCTATAATCCCTCTAAAGCACGGAGCCGTACTTATATCAACGTGAGGGAGGTTTCCGAGCGCTTCAGACTGCCGCCTGGAAACTACCTGCTGGTGCCCACCACCTTTCAGCCGCACAAAGAGGCTGATTTCCTCATCCGCCTCTTCTCTGAGAAGAAAGCTGGAGCCATGTATGTCTACAATACATTTACCACAATATTAAAGCCATAGCATAATCTACTCACATTTACTCATGTTATTCTGTCTTTCTATGTTGTTGTTTACTCTGATTTAAATACAGCAGGTTTCTCTCAACACTTACCTGAACCATATCTGACAGAATTATACAGCGTTCATGACTTTATTATAGGAATGCACCGATATGGAATTTTTGAATGGTACCGATAACTGATAACTCTTTAGATTTGGAGGCTGACAGCCAATATGTTAGTCAATAAATATGAGCAAGATGAGCAAAATGAAAACATGGTGTCAGGCAGCAACCATGTGAAGTGGTTCCACCAGTGGAAATTTTACATAATTTATCGGCTTAAACATATTGACCTAATTTTATTATCAGAGCGAAAATTAAAGCTTTTAAAGTAGGGATGCATGATATATCGGTGGCCATATTGATATTGGCCAATAAATACTATATTTAATGATGTAAATATAGCATTTATCGGCCGATATCGTTATGGCCACCGATATATTGTGCATCCCTATTGTAATTATACTATATTAATTATACTTTATGTTGTGAGTATATTTTTTGTGATGCACAGGGATAAATCCGATTTTGGAATATCTTTGGTTCGTTAATTTTTTATTAGAATTTGTTTAGCTAGCTTCATGCATCAAGCCACCAGTCATTATACACAAATTTATAAATGCATTTATGAATTAATTTCCTTACTCAATTGCTTGTACCCCATTATATATCTATAGTGAACTACAAAATAAAATTTCCATTAGATTTTATTTGCTTTGAACAACTGAACCCAATCATGAACTGATTCTTCATTGCTATGTTTTTCAGTGAGGTGGGAAACAAAATTGAAGCTGATCTGCCAGAGGTGAGTCAAATATAATCACTGGATAATTTTATTATATCCCTAGGAAGGACATATCAAAGTCAAAAGCAGATTGCTCTTAAATAGGTAAAACTGCTCCTAAAGTTACCTGTATGTATGTTTGTGTCTACTTTTTGAAGCCACCGAAACCAAACCCACCTGAAGAGGAGACTGATGAGGAGAAAGGCCTGAGGAAACTCTTTGAACAGGTCGCTGGACCGGTAAGAAAACTACAGTCTACTGTCTAAAGGGAATAGGGTATATGCCGAGCTAGTGCAGTTCCCATGCTGATACACTTCCGGTGACCTGTTATTGTGAACTTTTTACCATTTTTACGGTTCATTATACAGCATCGATGTTGTAATGTCATTAAAATACATTCAGTTAAATAAACTTAAGCATTTATTTTTATTTGCTCAAGCGTAAAACAAGACAAAAAGCTGTTTACTCGCACACGCTTGTCAGAATCGGCAGGCTAACACAGAAGCTCCATTGAATATACTGGGGTAAAATAAATGCTCATATTATAAAGATATGGCGGGGGAAATGTAATTTAATGCAGTGCTTCTTGTACAATCTGAGACCCACTTTAAATCGGATTTCACTCAGCTAGTGGAGATCGCTGATTTTTAAAGAAAACAGACCTTAAACGCACCGGATTTTCCATTGGCTTTCAATTTGCCGGAAGCGCTTAACCCAGGTTACTGGCAAATTAAAAGTCCTATTAGCATGCTTCGCCATATACCCCATTGAAGGGTTCATGAAAAACAGCTCCATGCGCAGTTTACTAAAGTCATTTATATTAAGTATTGTGGCGTTTTTGAACCAATCTATTGTAAAGTACTTAAATTAATCTGTTGTGGTGATTCTACAGTTGCAACTATAGTACAACTAGTAATACAAACAACTCAGCTGTATGGTATATTATATTACAATACACCAATGTTTACTGTAGTAAAAACTATATTATTACAGCATGCTGTAAGAGTGATTAGCAAGGTAAATACTGAAAAATACAGTATAATACACTTTAATAAAGTAGCTCACAAATGGATGTATAAAATAATATGGAATTATTTTAAATCACCTTTAAAAGCACGTAAAATGCCCTATTCTGTTAATCGCTTTACATATCAAATTATTTAAATACTTGCAGTTCCACAGGTCCTCATCACCGGTCCTCACACTTTCACCGTGGTGCTGTATCACATTGTAACCCAGATTTTTCGACATTAATTAGCCCTTTTAATAGTTGTTTTAAACACAATGAAGGATAAGTACATTAACAAATATAAAATTAACATCTATCTAAAAAAATAATAAAACTTTGAAATAGTTTGTTCGTTTACCTGCATGTCACGTGACGGTTAACGGACATTTGAGAACCGCGAACATTTAAATGTGTATTGACATAATGACTCTAAAAATCTACTTTAATTAAATATATTAGCACAAATCTAAGGATTTGACTGTCAGAACAAGTTTGAGAAACTTTGAGGCAATGTGGCAGTACTGCGAAGGTAGAAGACTAGCCTATTTTAAAAACAGACCGAGCGCGCCCTCTTCTGGTTATATTGAATATTACAGTCAGTATATTTTTCACATTTTTTATTATTTTCTGAATTTTTTGTTGTCAAACTTGTACAATAACAGGGAAATATGACAAATATTTCTCTTAAGTGTAAAGATAACATACAGAGGAAAATAAATAACAACAAGAACAAGAAAATAAACCAAAAAATGCGGTGTTCATTTGCTTCTCTGTAGGATAATGTCATCAGCGCCAGAGAACTGCAGCACGTGCTGAACAATGTTCTGGGAAGAAGTGAGTCTGACACAAATATTAATCAACTTTGAAACTTAATTTCCGAATGAGTGCTAAATATGAATGCTAGCATGTTAAGTAGGCTAACTGTGTCTCTCTGCAGGGAAAGAAGTGAAGTTTGATGGTCTGAGCCTCAACACCTGCATCAGCATCATAAACCTGATGGATGTATCCTTTCAGAAGAAGTTTGTTTAATTTTCAGGAATTTTGGGTCTTGAAGTGCTTTTTAAGTCTTTACCATCCATGAACCAAAACAACCAGCTACATTACAAAGTTTGGTTTCAAGAAAAGCATCAAATCAATCTTTTAAGGTTTATTAGTTACTGTTCAAGATTAATTTACCTGTGGAGAAACTGATTGGAGTTGTGTTTTTAAAGTGGAGTGTGCCACTTTAGGCCCAAGAGTATTTACAAAGCATTTCAACATATGAAAGGTTTATTAGTGATAATAGATAACTGTATTTTTTATTAATTTTCAAATCTCATATTTTTTGGTGTGTATTGAAGAGTATACACTCACTGCCCACTTTATTAGGTACACCTTAATAGTACCAGTTTGGACTCCCTTTTGCCTTCAGAACTGCCTTAATCCTTTGTGTCATAGATTCAACAAGGTACTGGAAATATTCCTCAGAGATTTTGCTCCATATTAACATGATAACATCACACAGTTGCAGCAGATTTGTCAGCTGCACATCCATGATGCCAATCTCCCATTTCACCACAACCCAAAAGTGCTCTATTGGATTGAGATATGGTGACTGTGGATTATGGATCCAAGCTTTGCTGTTGTTGACGAATGTTGCAGCAGAAATGGAGACTCATCAGACCAGGCAATGTTTCTCCAATCTTCTGTTGTCCAATTTTGGTGAGCCTATGCGAATTGTAGCCTCAGTTTCCTGTTCTTAGCAGACGGGAGTGGCTTCCGGTTTGGTCTTCTGCTGCTGTAGCCCATCCGCTTCAAGTTTGGACGTGTTGTGTGTTCAGAGATGCTCTTCTGCAGACCTTGGTTGTAACAAGTGGTTATTTGAGTTACTGTTGCCTTTCTATCAGCTGGAACCAGTCTGGCCATTCTCCTCTGACCTCTGCCATCAACAAAGCATTTGCGCACACAAAACTGCTGCTCACTCGATATTTTCTCTTTTTCGGACCATTCTCTGTAAACCCTAGAGATGGCTGTGCATGAAAATCCCAGTAGATCAGCAGATTTTGAAATACTAACACCAACAACCGTGCCACATTCAAAGTCACTTCAATCACCTTTCTTCCCCATTCTGATGCTTGGTTTAAACTACAGCAGATCATCTTGACCGTGTCTACATGCCTAAATGCATTGAGCTGCTGTCATGCGATTGGCTAATCAGAAATTTGCTTTAACGAGCAGTTGGACAAGTGTACCTAATAAAGTGGCCGGTAAGTTTGATTACAAATGACATGTTTTCATGTTGACTATTGATAGGTATAAATGCAGAAAACTTGAGTTATTAGTTCTTGCAAATAAAATCTTCAGATAAACTTATCTTATAGGCTACATGCTATTCTACAAGTGATAGCTCTGAATATATTCTGTAATGTGGCCGAGTTTTCCTGAACTGAGTATAGGTGGATGGATCAGGAATGATGGAATTTTCCGAGTTCAAAGTCTTCTGGGATAAACTCAAGAAGTGGATCGTAAGTTACAGGATCATATATTTACTTGTCAGTTGTCGGTTTACAATGAATAACCTGCATCGTTACACAAATCAACGTTGTTTTTTGTTGCAGATGCTGTTTCTGTCTTATGATGTGGATCGTTCTGGAACCATGTCTTCCTATGAGCTCCGCAGCGCTCTTAATGCTGCAGGTAAACACACTTATAATGGATTATAAGCATATATAAATATTTATTAACAGTATTTTATCTAATCAAATCTTGAGTGGTCACTTAAAAAGTGATTATTTACTTATTACACAATTAAAATTGTATTCAAATTACTTTTTTAAATGATTTCTAAATAAGGATTTTAATGAATTAACCCAATACTAACTTAAATCCATGTAAATGTCAATGCATAGACAGTTCCAATTAAACTCTTTTAATACTTTAAATTTAAATGCCCTTAGCTTTATTAAAAATGTAATAGTTAAGAAAAGTGAAACATTACATGCATCAAAACACAAAGCCTTTCAAAGCAATGGCACCCTAGAACACTGGTGTCAAATCCAGTTCCTAGAGGGCCACAGCTCTGCACAGTTTAGTTCCAACCCTGCTCAGTGTTGTAAATGATTTGTGAATTGATGGAAATATACATTTTTAAATGTACGGGCAGATTTTAAACCATTAGGCCAGTGGTTCTCAAATTGTGGTACGTGTATCATTAGTTGTACGCAGAGGAATCAAATGTCATGTGTAGCTGTACATGCTACATATATTTCACATTTGATCAAAAATGGTTCTTATGTCAATAGTGAATTCCGCAGATTTTTAGCCATTAATTCTGTTTATTTACTTGAGTGTGTAAATCTTTATTTATTCTGTTTTTTAATTAATTTCAGTAATATTATTGACTAATGTGAAAATGTTCATCTGATTTATGTACAATGCAGTTTGTACAGTATTATTTTCTGTATTGTAGTAGATATATTATATGACAAACTTGCTCTATTTAATCTAATTGGATTTGCATTTTAAACATTAAATAAAAGTTAAAAATATATATATTTTTTATTTAATATATTAAGGTTTTAGTTATGATACCCCCAAAATAATTCCGCAGAAATCCGCAGACTTTTACCAAAATTCTCTCCAGAAAAAGCAAAAAAACGTCCGCAGATTCCATCCGGCCCTACATATAGCCTATATTTATAAAGAAACATTTACAGGTTTTGATGAATCGGATACTATATGTTAATACTTTACATTTTAGTACGCAAGTTTTTTAATTTTACTTTGTAAAACCAGTAGCCTACTATTGTTAATTAACTTTTAAAAAGCACATTGTTAATGTTCAAACTATTTACAATCTTTAAAGTGGCTGATAATAATAAACATGAATAATAATAGGACTTAATCTGCCATGTCTTGAACTGTGCAGAGCTGTAGCTGCTACGCTATGAATTTCAATACTGCTCATTATGGTGGTACTTGGAGAGACAATTTTTTTCTCAGGTGGTACTTGGTGAAAAAAAGTTTGAGAACCACTGCATTAGGCCATTCCTTCTGGAAGGCAATAATATGTAAGGCTTTTGCTTATCTTTTAGTAATGTAATAATCGCAAACATACTGTTAATGCTGTGAAATCATAAATGCAGGTTAAATAAATAAATGAATAAATGAATGAATGAATGAATGAATGAATGTATGTATGTATGTATGTATGTATGTATGTATGTATGTATGTATGTATGTATGTATGTATGTATGTATGTATGTATGTATGTAAGAAAGAAAGAAAGAAAGAAAGAAAGAAAGAAAGAAAGAAAGAAAGAAAGAAAGAAAGAAAGAAAGAAAGAAAGAAAGAAAGAAAGAAATAAAGAAAGAAAGAAAGAAAGAAAGAAAGAAAGAAAGAAATGGCCTGCACAGAGTCCAGACCTAAATAGTTTGTGATCACCTGGAGAGAAAAAGAAAGAAATGACAGCACACAGTAAATCTAAAGAAGAGATCTGGGAAGTGCTGAAAGATGTTTGATACTAGATTAAACCCTGTAAATCTTCAGGAGAGTCTCGTCAAAACAGTTCAAGATATGCTTGTCAAGGGAGGACACATTAAATGACGTTTGCTTGAAGAAAATGGTCTTTTTTTTCAATGTTGTCTACATTTGAACCTTTTAAGTTCCAACACAAGACATTAAAACTCATAGTAAATATGGATAAAAGTTCTGTGCAAAAATCTTAGGCCTAAGACTACTGCACAGTACTGTTTATATATCTGATCTGCTTCTCTGAATGCACTCTGTATTATCATGAATGAATTTCTGACTTCAATTATTGTTTCTTAGGCATGTTCGCTCATAATCGGAAGCTTCTTTAATTAGAAATCAGAATTATTCTGCATGATACATTTGCATAACAAATAAAAAATACAAGTCCTCTGCTTCTCTGAAGTGATATATACATAACTGTTCACTATATAGTGGATTACTTAGGGGAAGTACATTATAAATAACTGTAGTTTAATTATCTAAAAATGAAAAGTAATCCTTTTCTTTCACTTTTCCAGCAAATAAGAAATTAAGTTACAGCAAGTAATTACTTTGCAAATAATTCAACTCAACACCGATGGCTATTTATGTCTCATTTGGACCTTGTTTGTGCAGGGATGAAGCTGAACAACAGGATTCTGCAGCTGCTGGGTCTGCGGTTCGCAGATGAGAAATTAGAAATCGATTTTGACGATTACCTGACGTGCATCGTGCGTCTGGAGAACATGTTTCGTAAGTTACGCTCATTAACATGCAGGATTGATCGTCATCATGCATTCATTCCAGTCAGTTTGTACCTGAAAGAGATGCCAATGTAAATCAAAACGTCTCTGCAACCTATTAATTGAGCTTGATCGATAATATTCAGTGTTGTTCCAAAACACGGGGAGTAAAACCGATTCAAACATCATTTGTCTGGCATCCGTTACAGGTATTTTCCAGGCCTTAGATGCACAGAAGAAAGGAGAGGTCAGCCTGAACATGCATCAGGTAATAATGCACCACTTTATAGCAAATAAACAAGAATAATAATGCGCATGAATTAGTGCTGCTTAATAATTATTCGTTCATTCATTTTCCTTCGGCTTAGTCTCAATTTCAGAGGTCACCACAGCAGAATGAACTGCCTGCTTAATAATTAATCATGACTAATTGAGTACAATATAAACATATTTACCTAACATATGTGAGTGTATCATGCATATTTAGGAATATTTAAATTCGCACACATACATAAATCTACTTTAACAATGTTTATATGTTATTTTTATACATTATTTGTTATATATAAATTTTTTCCTATGAATTTATACTTGTATACATGGATGTGTATTTATATATGCATAATAAATATATACAGTACACACAGATTATCATGCAAATTCAAATGTTTAATTTGTATGCAATTAATGATTAAATGTTTAAGAGCATTACTATAAATAAGAATGTTTACAAGCATCGTTTTTCAATCACAAAATGCTTTCCAAATGCATGTGCGTGTAAATCACGGGTGTCCATGCTCAGTCCTGGAGGGCCGGTGTCCTGCAGATTTTAGCTCCAACTTGCCTCAACACACCTGCAAAGATGTTTCTAGATAGCCTAAGAGCTTGGTTAGCTAGCCCAGGTGTGTCTGATTGGGGTTGGAACTAAACTTTGCTGGACACCGGCCCTTCAGGACTGAGTTTGGACATGCCTGGTGTAAATATGTATATATATATACACACATACATACATGTATATATGTATATATATATATGTATATATGTATATATATATATATATATATATATATATATATATATATATATATATATATATATATATATATATATTTTTTTTTTTTTTCAGATCTTTTTATTAACATAAAACATCAATTTCGAAAGTATTTGAAAAACAGAGACAAATTATCTTTGCTCCAACAGAGCCCCCCCCGCCCACTGCACCATTTCAATACAATATGTTATGCCCATTTTTTATCAGTTTCACATCATGTCATGATATGTACATACATACAATACAAGTAGATAAATGTTCCATCATATGTTCACTCATCTATTGTACATATATACGCACACAATGAGTCACAATAGGCTTAGCAAATGTAAAATAAAGAAATTAAATAATTTAGATAAAAGTTTAAATAAAATCAAATAAAATGGAGAGATGATGAGATACAAATAAACAACGGTCAAACTGAAAATATTAAGTTTGGATCCATTTGTTTTATATATGTCAGCACTGGCTGCCAATTAAGAAACAATTTTTGACTGCAACCTTTGGTGGAGTACCGAATCTTTTCCATTGTAAGATGGTACATAAGGTCCCTAATCCAATAATTAAAAGTTGGAGGAAATTTGTCCTTCCTATATATATATACATATACATATATATATATATATATATATATATATATATATATATATATATATATATATATATATATATATATATATATACACATATTTACATATATATACATATACATACTGTATGTATATATATATATATGTATTTGTGTGTATATATATATATATATATATATATATATATATATATATATATATATATGTATTTGTATATATATATATATGCGCGCGTTCTGATCAGCTGTGTTGTTGCGCGCGTACTCAAGAGCGGTGTTGTCGCGCGCCTACTGATGGGCGGGACCGAGGGTGTGCCGTGTCGTGGGGGCACTTTTGATCATTTTGGAAGGGCACTTTCTATCCAAGACTAAAAAGGGCATGTGCACTGCACAGGTTGAGCCCTATGTGTGCACGTGCCTGGGCACTGGTATCGGCACTATATCCCCACCAGTGCCGATATACAGCCATATCGCACTGCTACAAGTGTGATATTGCATATATACAACAGTTTGACGGCATAATTGTGTATATAAAAACAAAATCAAACATGGAGAGTCTCAAAAACCCTTTTGGATGAGGAACTACTTTTTTCCGGATTCAAATCATAAGCTGACAGTTAAACAGCTGAGCGTGCATCTTTTAAACTGTAGATCTGTAGTGTCTGCTTTTCGCTGCTTGATGTGGGCGGAGTCATACACAAAGGGTAAAGAGGCTGTAGGAGTTCTGATATTGCAGAATATCGCACGGCTATCAGCCAATAAGATTTGAGAACCAGACAGAACTGTTGTGTATGTGTGTATGTGTATATATATATATATATATATATATATATATATATATATATATATATTGGTTGAATCATTGCTAATTGTAATATTTCTAGATCGTAGCGAGGTCAAAATAATAAACAAGTCTTAATTTCTTCACAGTTCCTGTTGTTGACCATGAACGTCTGAGCTGGAAAATAGGGATGGATATACGGATCAACTGGGGATTTTCAATCTTGTGCTGAATTCTGAACACACACACGCACACACATAAACAACCTCTCTCTCTCTTTCTCTCATTCATAAACACACACTCACACTCTCACAAAAACACACACCACAGTTTTGTATGTTTGCTTTGTCTTTCCCATCGCTACAGCCTACATGATGTTTGTGAAAGTTTAACACTGATTGTTTTGTGAGCAGTGTTTACGGCACGTTTACTGTAATTTGTCTGTGATTTGAGGCATATTCACCCTGTATGGATGGTTCAAGAGTCTAATGATAATTGTGAGATGTTTGTATTCTTCTCAAGGCTGCTAAACCGCTACGTTTTCATCATGAAAGGTGCATGCATAAATAATACAAATGAGAATTTAAATGAATTTTACAAAAGGAAATAAAGTGTGGCTCTGTTTTGGACGAGCTGTAACGGAGTCAGCAAAACCATGTTTAATAAAAAAAAATTGTATTCAAGCATTTTGTCAGTGAATCGTCTCATGAATGAATGAAATGAACAGTGTTTTCCTAAAAACTTCCTAAGGATAACTAGGATAATCGTAATCACAGTATATAACAAAAAGAGTCAATGTTTAAAATTTTACATGATCAAAAAGCTAAATTAAAGATGTCATCTAAACAAATCTCAAGTCTTGAATCTATTTTATGTTTAATTTTTGTCTGTTTGCTATTTATTCCTTACAAGCTGAAACATAAACATTGAAACTGTTAACAAACAACAACAATAAGCACATAATAACTTAAAATAATTCATTCATTCTTTTTCCTTAAACTTAATCCCTTTATTCATCAAGGGTCGCCACAGCGGAATGAATCGCCAACTTATCCAGCGTATGATTTACCCAGCGGATGCCCTTTCAGTTTCAACCCAGTACTGGGAAACATCCATACACACAGGCGACAGTGCTAACCACCGAGCCACTGTGTTGCCCAGGCAATGTCATATGAGTTTAAAAAAAATGTGTGCGAGTGTGTGAAATATGTACTAACTTAGTACAAACATACACATCTCACAACAATTTTGAAAATGAGAGTAAGTATACTAACAATATACCATAAAAGTTTAAACAGTTGCCAGGGGTAAAAAAACGATAATAATAATAATAAAAACAAATTAAATTAACCAAATGAAATGTACATAATGCTTTATATATTTATATTAGCTGTTTCTTTGTTACACAGTGTAGCACCATATTGTTTAATCTCTTTTATAAAATGTTCACAATTTGGCTCAGCTTTATCCTTAGCCCATTTCTTTACATGATGAATATGATATTTTCCCAAGTAACATCATTAGCTGTATAAGAAAATAAGTGGTATTTCTGAGTCAATGTACAAAAGCAAATATGACGTCATACATTTAAATTTGTATTTAATATTTTACCTGAAATGAAAAGTTTGCAAAAAAGCAGCTGCTTCTAACGTCATAATCAGCACGTCATCACTGCATCTGGACCAAACCAAAAGTAAGTGTGTTGTGTTTTTTTATATACAACAGCCACGGCTGCATGTCCCGCCATTAATCCAGTTGCTTTATTGTTTTAACAAATAACATTAAAACATATTATATAATTAATAATATATTATTTTAAAAAATAAATAATCCGTTATTCACTGCAGTTCTCCCTACGCTTTAAGTCCGTCGTGATGGTAGAGTCTCAAAATGGCCGCTTCTCCTCCATGTGTTTGAATGTGACAGAAGGATCTTTATTATTTAATTCTTCGTTGTTCACGCTTAACAACATATAAAATATTATTCAGACCAAAAACGCAAACGTATTGATAATACACTAACTTGTAAAAATGGTGAGTAACCTTTGAGTTGTTGTACTTCGTGTTGTTAGCTGTCAGGCTAAGGACTACAGTGTGTAAATCACATGTTATTAAGAAACTAGGACTTTTAAACATTAATTATACATATACATTCATTGTCTGTTTGCTAAAAAAGTCGATTGAATAAAATTTAGGTTGGATTTGGTGACATAACATCATTTGTGTTGAGTTAGCAAGCTGTTTTATTGTAATAGTGAATTTGTTTATATCGATAATTATCACGACAAATGTTTTCTTTCGCATTTTAGGCAGATTTATGCGTATGGTTTAAAGTTGTAAACAGTCCCTTTTACTTATAAATGACTGTTTTATTGTAAGAACATGACAAATTTTCCAAATCTGACGTACAATATTATTCATAAAATATTTATTAAGTTTAAATTTATTTTGCAACCTGTTCCTTATTCGAATATTTTACCAGATACATTAATTTCTTAGAGGTTAAACATAATCATGAATCAAATCTTTATTATTCACTTTTTCAGGAAATCATGCAGGTGTAAGTTCAATATTATTTACATATCAGCTACTGTTTAGTTCGCTTTTACTTCTGCTTATTATATTGAAGCTTATAGGATCTACATCACTATAATTATCATGTACTTGCCCTAGCACTAAATGACTGTATTTTATTAATGCTCTTCAGCCGCACAGAAAGAAGAAATCCTTCATCAACAAGAAGAACGCTGTGTCTTTCCACCTGGTTCACAGAAGTCAGAAAGATCCTCTGGCCGCAGATGAAACTGCCCCTCAACATGTCCTTCTGCCCACCGTCAGGGTAAATACACCAAACACACTTTACAGAAAGTCAGACAGGCCTAGTATACAAGTGTGTCTCTGACTAGGAATGCACAACAACAATTATTCAGGCTTGTTGAAAATACAGAGGTCTATATATGCTAAATACAGAGGTGACACGGCCGTGTCATTTTCTTCCCCAGTATCACGCAGCCTGTGCTTATGTGTGTCTACAGGTGGAGTTGGAGAAGAGGAAAGAGGAACAGCGCAACTTTGGCGTGTTTTTCGACGATGATTACGATTACCTGCAGCACCTGAGAGAGTCGACTCAGACCGCTGAGCTGATTTCTGCTCCACGTGTTCGCAGAGATGCTCGACTGAAGCCTGCAGATGATGAAGAGCACATGGAGGAAGAGGACGGCAGCGTCCCTGTAAGGACAAGCGGCAGCACACATCTGCATATCTGATCACGTTTGAACATCTGACAATGATTATATTAGGGTTGGGCATCTAAGCTATAATGCCGATCCGATACGCATCTCGATACAAAGAATACGATCCGATATATTAGCGATACATTTATGACATATTGCGATGCAACACGATACGATTCACTCCCATATCATAATACAATGCGATAATTCAGCACTAATTAGATCAAGTTTATGAGATTATGTGAAAGAGGATGTTGTGCCATTGAATGAGTTTGATTATTTATAAACCAAGCAAAACCAAGACTTTTTTTACAAACTGGCTCTTCTCTCAGAGCCAGAGTGTCAGTTTACAGTAGAGGGCCATTTTAGAACATATAGCACATATTATTTAAGTATTTTCAAGATAAACAGAATGTATAAGTGCAATATATATATTAAAATATATATATTTGCACTCTTTCAACATAAAGGTTTAGCATTGCACAACAAGAATTGTGATTTAACTTTTCAACTATGAAAACAAGTTTTACAAAGATATATTTTGCCACTGAATATTCAAAACTTAAGGTTGTGAACTAGCAGTGTTATGCTGCTTTGAAACATCACTGTCACTGTAAACAACAGGCTAATAAAAATATAACAAACCAGCAATCTTCTTGCTGTGAGGTGGTCAAATTACCCACTGTGCCACCGTAACACCCATTATTTTTATCATTATTATAATTATTAATATTATTATTATTATTATTATTAAATAAAAATTAACAGGAGGAGGTGTTTAAAACCTTCGTTCTCCGTGACACTAGGCTGAATATCTTTGCAGATGAACAATGCAATAACATCCGTTATTGGCGTAGAGCGCACAAAACTGTTGCACGTGGAAAAAAAAGCTTGCAATGCTTTTCTCACCACTTTTGGAGCTGGTACTGTAGCTACAGTTGAAGCAGTGCGAAAGCCGTGGATGCAGGAACACTGGAAGATGCTTTCACAACAACACCGTGGCGCCGCTTCAAGTGAGATTTCAGATTAGTCGTACTGCCCGCGTATTTTACAGATGCGCGGCACATTTTGCAAATTGCATCTGTCCTGTCAAGTCGTCCATCCTTAAATCCATAATGTTGCCATACTTTAGATTTAAAACTCGGTGAGGAATAAAATGTTTGTTTTGCTTCTCGCGCTTTCTGAGGGCGCTCCACTCGCTTCATCCGCACACCTGATACACTGAGTTGTAGTGTAAGTGTACACATCCGCAAATCCGTTGCTAAGGCTTACTTTATGTAGGTCAATTAAATTATGCGTCAAAAACAGGTTGACAACACTTGTTAATAAATAAAAAATACATTCTATATTAAAAATATAAGCTGTATCTCGGAAAAACCGATGCATCTCGCAAAAATCGATGCATCTCGAATTGCTTCCAAAATTTCATTCATCCTCTGCTGCTCTACCGATGCACTCGCATCGTGCACGCGCATGACCGCGTATCGATACATATCGGTTAATCTTCCCATCCCTAGATTATATGTATTGTTCAGATTGACTACCCTTTTGTTATGTTGGTGGCTGTTTTTGCCCCATTGACTACCATTATAATCACATTTTTTGATTGCAAATTCATGACAGCATATAATCATGCGCTCTTTATTGTTGGTGGTTTTCCCTGTTGTTATGAGGTCAAATGTGTTATTTTTACTGGTGATCATCAGTTGGCAGCATTAACCCTTTAGATAGGCATGTGCAAAAAAAAAAGTTTTTCTTTTATATGAAGGTCTATCAGGGCTTGAAATTCCGACCATTTTGGTCGCATATGCGCCCGAAATTTTATCTGTGCGACCTTAAAATATATTTGGGAGCATTTTTGCGAGTGCTTAAAATTGTTGTGTGCGACCAGTTTTTACTGCAAAATGTTCACCACATGCGCGGATTCGGGAGACATTCACGCAGAATGCATCTCTAAGCTCTTTGTCTGCACTTGAAACGCAGCGCTCAGGGATGGTTTAAAACAGTTGTCATGTCAACTTGCTGCAGTAAACAAATCCAAGTCCGTAATGCTTGCCCCGCCTTCGCGCTCTTCTTATTGGCCCACCACTGCTCTAGCACTGAACGTGAATGATTGGTTAATATCAGCTGTCAATCACTCAGCGCCTTCTGGCTTCGGATGACAGAGAGCTACTACCGCTAATAATTGTAAAGCGCTGAAGATGAGAATGAAGATAACACTGACAGATTTTGTTTGAGAAACCATGGCATCTACAGTTACAAATAATGACACATCTTACTAGTGATCATGTGCTGAATGTTAATCCACCATCTACACTTTTCTAAGAGTAGAAGACTTCCATTGGCTTCAAGTCCGCTATGAAAATTCTGTGGGATGGAGTTTTCAGGTAACTGTTTGCCACATCCAGCACGAAAGCTTCTGTTTAATCCTTCATATAATCGCCAGATGCT